TTATGTTATATATAATTAATGGAGTTAATTCCTATGTAAATATATACAAATGTATTTTTTTCTAAATATTGCCAAATTGTTCTCCATAATGATACAGTAAATCCCCAACTTATGAATGAGTTCTGTTCTGGGAGAACATTTGTAAATCAGATTTAATCCATCAAAGTAAGTCTTACACAGTACAGCTGTGAAAGTTTGCAACTCGAATATTCATAAGTCAGAGACTTACTGTAGTAATAATTTACATTTCCAGACTTCTTTGTCCACAGCTTTACCAACAGATGTTATTGGCAGACTATAGTTTTCAACAATTGGGTAGATTTAAATAGTTTCTCCATTTATTTTCTATTCCTCCTAAGATTATTGGGTATTTGGGGGTCTTTATTCTGAAAAGTGAAAGAGTTATGCAATCTAAAGAGAAACCAGAGTACAGGCATTCTCTATTTTAAGAGTTAAAAGATTAAAAATTTCTTATCTGTGATCCAGTAAATATTTTTCATTGATAAAAATAAGCCATTTACATTTATTGTGATTTTAATATTTTGGAAATTATTTCTATAATATTTTCTGTTTTCTATTTACTATCTCTTTCTTTGTCCCCTCTTTTATGTTTTGTTTAGATATCTTCTTTTTTATTTTAAAAACTAAAAACACTAACAAAACAACAATGAAGACAAAATCAAACCAACACAAAAACAACAAAAATGATACATGACGTCAAAACAAAATGATAGGAATTAACAATGATTGCTACATTACATACTGTTATCTTCAACAAAGTTGCTCAGTTAGATATCTTCTTTTATCCACTAATTTAGAAATTACAGTACATATATCTATTCTTTCAATGATCATCATTTTTAAAAAGTATGTATTTTCTTATGAAGTCTAAATGAATTTTATAATTCTCTTTTCCTCCAGATATAAAGTATATTTTAGCAAGCTTTACCCATAGACATTCCCCATCATTTTCTTGTTCAAAGACTTGGTTTTACCTTTTGAATTTAAAAAATTAATTTCACTTTCTAATTTTTACAATAAAACTTTGTTTCTTATATTGACAACTGTTCCTTGACATATTGACTATTCAAAAGTTTCCCTCCTGTTACTCTTACTAAAGTACATCCTTTAATAGTTTAATAGAAGCTTGTGGGTGGTAAATAGTTTTAATGGATACATATAAACATATAGTATCCTTACTTTGTCCTTACTTGGTCAAAATTAAGCGGTTATAAAATTCTAGCTAGATATCTTTGCTTGGCACTTTTAAAGTATTACCTTGACATTTTCTGACTCTGATGTTGATGATGAGAAGTATGCTGTCTAGCTAACATTCCTTTGAAGTTCATGTCTTTCTTTTAAGATTATTTTCCTTATCATCAATTTTCTGTAGTTTTGATCACTGTTGTAGCAACTAAATGGGATGTATCTTCCAGTAAAGAATTCATGATTTTTTTTCAATTTTGATAAATTATCAGCTACTATCCTATCTATTATTTCTTACCTGCAATTTCCTCTGATCTCTTTTTCTGGAATTCCAAATGGTCCTATGTCAGAGTGTCACTCTAACCACAATATCTAATAAGAACCCTTTCACTATTGTTACTCTTTTGTTTTTTGGTACCAGGAATCGAACTCATGACCTCAGGCTTGCCAGGCAAGTGCTTATGCAACTGATCTATATCCGTGGCATCATTACTGTTACTCTCTTTTAGCTCTTTAGCCTTTGCATTATGTAAATACTACTATTTGATTCAGATTTGTGTGTTTGTGTCCAATCTAGAATTTGTCTATAAGATGTTAAAAATTGGTATAATTTTATAATTATCTTTTGTAGTATTTCTAACAGGTAGTTTTTAAAGAGACTTGTCTTCTAGTTTATTTCTTTCTTTTTCATACACACTCCCACAAATTTTTCTTTCATTTATAACTTAAAGCACCTATGTAAATTAAAGTCTTTGTTAAACTGTTCTATAAAATTAAGCTGGAGCATATTCATGATTTGATGCTTGATTTAATTAACTGCTTTTCTTAGAGAGACAGAGAGACAGACAGAAAGAGAAAGAGAGAGAGAGAGAGATTTGGGAACTCTGGTGTGCTGGAATTTTCATTTATTTATGTATACATCTTTCTCTGTCTCCTTTCACTTTTCGCTAATTGCCTCCATCTGAGTCCTGGACTTCTGACCTGTGGAATATTGCAGATTGTGAATAAGTCATCATGGGAATGAATTTTATCCCCCTGCCCCAAGCTCATCTATAGATCTAAATTCTTAAATTCCTATAATCTAGGCTGATACCCTGGTTTGGAGGAGTGGACCCCAAGTTCCACATAGTTTTCCCAGGGTGGCAGTATCATGACATACTATAAAACTTTTAGAGATGGGAGGTCTTGGAAAGGTCCTTAATCAATTGTAGTTGTGCTTTAAAAGAGACTGTGGAACCCCATCTTCTTTCTTTTCTGTTTTGTTTCTTTTTCTTTTCTTCTTCGCTGTCTCTCATTCTTCCTGGCTCAAGACATGATAGCACTGTAACACATGCTCCTCCACAACGTGGCACCATCATGAAAGTCCCTCCCCCACAAATGGTGTTGCCTAACCTTAGACTTGAGCCTCCAGAACATGAACCAACATAAACTTTTCATGTCATCTGTACCCTGTATCAGGTAATTCATTACAGTAATGAAAAGCTGAGTGATACAGATGCACATCAACAGACATTATTTTGAGGTTTCCTTTTCTATAAAGTTAAAAGAAATGAGGTCAGTTCTGTTCTCCAACCTTGACTCAGCCCTCACCCCTCAGCAGGGATACCCCTGCCTGCCTCAGACCCAGGGCCAGCCCAGCCACATTGGATCACTTTGTTTTCTGTTCCATTTTTGCTTCAAGAGATGCTTATCTTTTTTGTGAGGGTTACTGGGAATCGAACTCAGGACCTCACACTTGCCAGGCAGATACTGCACTACTGAACTATATCCCCAGCTCCCAAGAGATGCTTATCTTGCTTGGGGGCCCAGTTATGTTACCATGATGTTTTCTTTCTATATGTTTTATCCATCACTTGTTATATTTTTAGAGCAGGGATAGTATATCAGATTGTGAGCTCTCTATACCTGAAATCTTACCTATGACAGAAAGTTTACTTAAAATCCTAGTTTATGTTTTTATTTGAGGTCTTTTACTAATTCAAAGAGTTCAGAATTGTAAGCAAGAGACAACCCACATTCTAAGAACAGGAATTGGCCTCCATATACTTTATTTATTAATTTATTTTTGTTTTTCTGAGACAAGGTCTTCCTGTGAAGTTCAGGCTGGCCTTGAGCTCACCTTGTAGCCCAGTCTGGTTTCAAACTCACAACGATCCTCCTGTCAGTCTCCCAAGTGCTGGGATTACAGGTGTGCACCCCGAAACCCGGCAAGTCTCCATATACTTTAAAGCCTTATCCTTTATCTAGTAGTTTTCAGAAATGAAACTAATAAAATAAGAGCAGAGTTTTACTGCTAGTTAGGTAAACAACATTAAAATCCTTTGAAATATTTTGTGGTCTTTGAATTAAAAAAAAACTTTACCTCATGAGAGTTTGTCCTGCAAATTATTTGCATGTGTTTTAAAATTGAATCATCATATTTAACTTTTATTTACAGATTTCTTATGCCATTGTGTCTTTTCTATTATCAAGTAGGTCACTTTTTCCTTTCTACTGCCTTTATAAATGAGGGAAAGAACAGGAATAAAGCACACAGGTATGTCAGCAACAAGAACAGCACCCTCTCTCCCAGCGTCACAGCTCAGGTGAAGGATGCTTCTACAGTTTGGATATACAGTGTCTCATAAAGGTGCATGTGTTGAAATCTTGCTTCCTAGTCCATGGTGCTATTGGGAGGTGAAATCTTTAGGAGGTAAGGCCTAGAGGAAAGAAGGTCCTTAGGCACGTACTCTTGAAGGGGGTATTGGGACCCCCACTCCTTCCTATCTCTCTCCTTGTTTCTGAGCTCTTGTGAGGTAGGCAGCCATCCTCTACCACACATTCCCTCTATGATGTACTACAAAGGCTCAAAGCACCTGGGCCAAATAACCATGGACTGAAACCTTTGCACTTGTGAGCCTACATTAACCTTTTTTCTTTTAAATGGACCATCTCAGGTATTTTGTCCTGGTAGTGGAAATCTGG